AGCCTTACGATGCAGTAGTACTCTCTACCAAACAGGCCCATCTTAGTTAATCCATCCACGTTGTGGTGACACTGAGAAAACTTGAGTATCCATAGCTTTTCTACCTACTGTGTCCAGACAGACCAGTTCATTTCACTAAATTTATCCCTTTATCTCTCTGTTTTTCTCTCAGGTTCAAAAGTTTCGTGATGCCCTGAAAGAAGGGGGCCTGATTCTCAGCGAGCCGAGACGCATCTACAAATGAAGAGACGTGCAGACAGAGCCCCGTCATCTTTCCTCTCTCTTTCTGTGGTGTAGAGAGCACTGTGGACTAAACTCAGTAAACACACTTTTTACATCTGTGAGTTGTGCTCTCCTCTGTGTGCAGTGTGAGTTTAATTTGAAATGTAATTCCCCAGAAAGTTGTGTCAATAATGTAATTGGGGTTGTGTACAGTGACCACTGTGCTTAGTAAATGAGTCAGGTTTGCATATGATACCAAATTAGGAGACTTCTCAGATAATTAAGACAAAACAAACTATATAAAATGGGAAACTGGGTGAAAAGATGTTACTTTAGTCTGAAGGGAGTGTCCTACACTGACAGGCTGAAGGAACTGAGTCTCTTTAGTCTGAAGGGAGTGTCCTGCCCTGACAGACTGGAGGAACAGAATCTCTTTAGTGTGAAAGGAGTGCTCTGTGCTGACAGGTTCGAGGAACTGAATCTCTTTAGTCTTGAAGAAGACTACAAGGAGTCTTGATAGAAATATTAAAAATCCTCAAAGTCACTGTCAAAGTCAACCCAGCAAAAAAATCAGGTAATAAATACTTACATTTACAAGCAAGAGGAGGCCGTCCTTTCACGGGTGCTGTTTAAGTCTACTATAGTCTGCGACATATTACAAAGAGCAGTTCCTGGATGTTGGCCACTAGATGGCACTGTAGTAGTATTTAATTGCAGGAATTGTTCTTCTGGAATTTCAGTCATAGTTGTAAAGTCAGAATTAATCCTGAGGGATGTGTATTTTGTAGGAATTTTGGCTTTCTAGATGACGAAAGAAAGAAGTGAAACTTTGGGGTCCCAGGTTGGTCAGGCTGTACTGGTGTCTCCAATCTCAGTCAGCCAGCCTCCATCAGGGGTTCCCAACCCTGGAGATGGGGAGCCCCGAGTCCACTGATTTCTGCTCGAGCTAAATTCTTAATCAAAGGCTTATTTATGGCAGGTTTCCATTTGAGGCCTTCTAAAATGTTCTTTCAGGTGTTAAAAAGCTTGATCCATCCATTTTCTAAACGCTCCTTTTAATGAAGGGTCGCTGGGGAGCCAGATCCTATCCCAGCACGCAACTGGCACAGAATACACCCTGAACAGGACGCCAGTCCACTGCAGTTAAAAAGCTTAATCTGATACAAGGACACCCATTCAGCACCTGTGCAATACCCCCTATACTCAGGACTGAGAACAAAATGGCTCTGTGGTTTCCCAGGGAGACGCCACGGAGTCACAGTTCTTCTTGATTGCTAAGACATCTTGACTGCAACTGTGGCTCACCTCGTCACCCAAAACCCAAATGAGCGAAACACAAACATTTTAGCAAAACAGTACATTGTTTATAATGGCTTCCCTACACAATCCACACGCCGAGCCCGTCCTGGGCCAAACTGTAAAGACATCGCTGGACAACACAATGGAAATCACAAAACACTTTAAAAAAAAAATCGCAAAAAATATTTGGACATACAAAACACTGTCATTTGTTCCCAGTTCATGATAGTTACCATCACTTGGGTGACACCCCGTTGTACCTTTCTCGAATTGTTAAATGATTATTCAGTTCATCGTTGCAGGTGGTCATGGAGGAAGAGGGGAACCACGAGCTGCTCGGAGGGCTTCCCAGAGAGCAGAGAGTTGAGGTGCCAAGTGAAATACAGGCAACCGCTGTTCACCATGTGATCAATCCCAGTCTTTTAGTGTGTCAGGCTGGCCAGAGTGCACAGGCCAGTTTCACTCATTCAGCCCCAAGAACGGGCACGAGGTCATGTACGACTTCAGTGTACAAGAACAAACATATGGGGTCTCTTCCAGTATCTATGGAGTCAGCCTTCCTGTAGAACGCCAGCGCACACAGAGCAAGAGAGCAGAATTCCAACGGGCTACGGGCTCACATACTGAACTAGATACTTAGGAACTAGTTATTTTAAAGTTTACAACTTAACTCGTCGCAGCAAACTCAGCGATGATATCACTGAAATCCACCCGCCTTGCGGTGCTGTTCTCTAGAGCTGACAGTCTGGTGGACCCTAGATACGTTTTGATCAAGTTCAGTTTGCTAAATGACCGTTCAGCACCGGCGTCCAGTTGAATTGTTAGAAACGCTTGGCGTGCTATCACTGTGTTTGGAAATGCGGATTTCATATCTTTGTTGACCCAATACTGCAGTACTTCAGACGGAGCGTTGACTTCACTGGGGAGCAGATGAGACAAACTTTAATTTAGTTGCCAACTCTCCACCATGAATGGCTCCTAAACACAAGGCAAGTTCGTTGCAGGCGTCAGTTCAATCATCTCCGGTATGTTTTATGTCAAACAGAATGCCAAAAAGACGTCCAAATTCGCTCAAGAAAGAAAAACGTCCTTCTGTCTCACTGATGACAGTGTCCAGTAAGCAATTGAAAAAGTTCACTCTTTGCGTTTCTCGCTGCCGGAGTTACATTTCTGGATTGCTTTCATTTGTGCTCACTAACGAACACAGCTTCGCTAAATGTAAGCTTGTCTGTTGCTCAGTCTTGCAGGGGAACAGGCCTGGCTATCCAATTCTACATCTTCTGGAAAGAACACGCCAGTGACCAATTACAAACCATCCACACAGCCGTGTTTCCCAATAGATCATCGTGTTTTACTTTAAAATATGCCAGACTAATAAAATCACTTTATTGGCCATATACAATTTCTTGCATTAGGAATTTGTTTTTTCACATACCCCAGCTTGCTCTCCATGAGACACACAGACAGGGAGAGAAGCAGGGGGTCAGAGCGCAGTGTCAGCCATTTATACAGCACCCCTGGAGCAGTTGGGGTTAAGGGCCTTGCTCAGGGGCCCAACAGAGTAGGATTCCTCTGCCGGCTGCGGGATACGAACTGGCAACCTTCCAGCCACAGGTACAGATCCTTAACCACAGAGCCAGCGCATCACCCCAATATTGCTGTTGGATAACACACCACATTCCCTGCCCCTGATGTACAAACTCTCGTTTGTTTATTTTACGGATGGTCTTTTCTAAAAAAAAAAAGCTGTCATTTTAATGATGTTAGCAACGTCGATCTGGGCCCGAGTGCGGCTGCACCCATTGCACCCTCCTGTAGTGCCGGCCCTGTCTGGAGGCCAGAGCAAGGGTTTCACTGCTGA